ATAACAAATTAAATTGGTCTATGTTAATAGCAACCATTGGTCACATGACAACCTTTTCCTGTATCTTCTCTATAGAGTAGTTAGCAATAATTTTATGAGTTCATTGGTATGGACTAACTCAAGAATTATTCCATTGGCACTTTCCCTTTTGTTGCTTCTGACAATTCAGATTTGTTGGCAATTGTTTCAGGAATGGTTTACAACAAAGGAGAAACTCATGGCAAGATGGAGTTTATGGCACAACTTGTCCAATTCCACCTGGGAAAAACTTCACTTATACCCTCCAAGCAAAAGACCAAATTGGTAGTTATTTCTACTTCCCATCACTTGCTATGCACAAGGCAGCTGGGGGATATGGTGCCATCCGAGTCTATAGTCGTCCTCGAATTCCAGTACCTTTCCCTCCACCTGCTCATGATTTCACTGTACTTGCTGGAGACTTGTACAAGAGAAGTCACAGGGTAAGCCCCATCTGTTTGGCTTAATTATCATATTTGTTGTTACCTTTACAATAATATTTTGGTGCTAAATTTACATGGGGATTTGATTCTTGCAGCAACTGAAGTACATTTTAGATAGTGGTCATAATCTTCCCTTACCTGATGGTCTTATTATCAATGGTCGCGGATGGAATGGATACACATTTACAGTTGATCAAGGTTTCTAACTGAAAATTGCTAACTTAGTCTGATTACAATAATCTTGTTTTTACTGTGCCTTGTCTTGTTAATGTTTCAGCTTCAGAAACCTTAGTTCTCCAACTCATTGTGCAGGTAAGACATACAGGTTCAGGATATCTAATGTGGGGATGGCAACATCAATTAATTTCAGAATTCAAGGGCACACAATGAAACTGGTTGAAGTTGAAGGATCACATACACTCCAAACCTCCTACACTTCACTTGACATCCATTTAGGACAGTCTTATTCAGTTTTAGTCACTGCTAACCAGCCTCCCAATGACTACTATGTCGTGGTTTCTTCACGCTTTACTAGACGAGTCCTAACCACCACTGCTGTTCTTCACTACAGCAACTCATGGACAAAAGTCTCTGGACCTGTCCCTGGAGGGCCTACTACTCAAATTAATTGGTCCATTTATCAGGCCAGATCCATACGGTAATACATCTTTGTTATGTCTAACTTTCATGTTGAAAAGATAAGTCATTACTTCATATGGTTAGTTAAACTATTGGTAGAAATCTGCTTATAAGATACTCGTTGGAAGAACTGAAGTTATTTATCTTGTTCCAAACAAAGGCACATTTTGCATAGATGGAACGAAGAAAAATTGATACATGAATGCTTAGTAAGTATCACTTTCATTCTAACATCTCAAAAAACTCTTCTTTGGTTGTTTTGTCAAATCAGTTGGAATCTAACTGCAAGTGGACCAAGGCCAAATCCTCAAGGTTCTTATCATTATGGGTTGATCAAGCCTTCGCGTACAATCATTCTTGCCAACTCTGCCCCATATATAAACGGCAAACAGAGATATGCTGTCAACAGTGTCTCGTATGTTGATCCGGACACACCATTAAAGCTGGCTGATTACTTCAAAATTGGAGGAGTCTTTAACCTTGGTGGCATCTCTGACCAGCCTTACAATGGAAATGGTTATCTTGGAACCCCTGTTATGGCTGCTAACTTCAGATCTTACGTTGAGATCGTTTTCCAAAATTGGGAGAACTCTGTCCAGTCATGGCACATTGATGGCTATTCTTTCTTTGTTGTCGGGTAAATCATCTCATTATCATCATACTTGTTAAGAAACAAGAAAACTTCTCCTTGTCTGAGTTACACATTTACTCCTCTTGATTCTTTATCTTTGTGAATGAACAGTATGAATGGTGGACAATGGACTCCAGCGAGCAGATCGCACTACAACTTAAGGGACACAGTTGCACGTTGCACCACTCAGGTTTGTCAAAACTTTTAGTATGATAGTGCACATAATCTCAACTTTGCTCTATACCAAAACATCCTTAAACTTATGTTCCAATGTATCTGTTTGATGTAATTCAGGTTTACCCCAAGTCATGGACTGCAATATACATGGCATTGGATAATGTAGGAATGTGGAACATACGGTCTGAGGATTGGTCAAGGAGGTATTTGGGACAGCAATTCTACTTAAGAGTTTACTCCCCATCAAATTCTTGGAGAGATGAACTTCCAATACCAAAGAATGCTCTCCTTTGTGGCCGAGCTAGACATCACCACACTAGGCCTCTTTGAAACAGTAATATTTCTAATTTTCCGTCACGAGAGGGTGACCGGCTTATATCGTGTAAACCAAGGGAAAGATTAATCTGGGAAGAGTGAAGACGCTGAGTTTGAGCTATGACTTATAGTCTCTTCTTCTCTTTCTATATGATATGTATCCTATTTTCTGTTGTTGCAATTGATGGAATGTATCATTTCACATTTCATTTTTTTCTCCAAATTTTTGGTTAAATGCCAAATAGATAAGCAGGGAATAACTTCTTTACTTCAAAGGAAGAGTATATCTTTATTTAGTAAGTTCTTAATCCCATTGCTCCTGGACAAATGACTATGAACAAGAGTCTTGTGGTGGAGCCAAACTAGAAAAAGTACCTCTGATCTAATGACCGATCAACATGTTTATTAGGAGAAATTATCACGGAATGAACTACATGTAATGAAACTTAGCCAGAGTGATGGCTGAACATGATTTGGTAAGTTGAAGTCCTATTTAATGATTGAACTGCTAGTTTATTCAAAGAAGTTATCACGAATGAGCCACACATAACGAAATTTTTACGCCGGTGGTTATGTACGAAAAAGGTAAAACTACCATTTGGATGAGATTATTATTATTATTATTATTATTATTATTATTATTATTATTATTATTATTATTATTATTATTATTATTATTATTCATAAGTCATAACACACCAAGGGTGTAAAAGGAACAGAGAAAAGAAACACTGCACTTGTTTAATTACATGTACACTTCCAGTCTTTAATATGTTCGTAACGTACTTCTGAAGACTTCACCAAAATGCCAAAAAGAGTTTTCTCACACTTGTCTTTTAGCTAATCCTGTGAGGTCGATCATTTCTAAGTTAAACAACCAGTGATCAATAGCCATTAATGCCATCTCTTTGAGCCATTTAAGTGGGTACTATATATAAATTATGACTTATTTTAAAACTATCATCAATCAGAACCTTTTGAGGTAGAGGGTGCATGCTCCTTATGATTTCTTGGTAGATGTATGTCATGTGAGGACACAAGAATGTTTTGATACTGACTTCAAACAAAGTATGTCCTGAAAAGTAACACTATCATCAATGAGAACTTTTATGCAAAATTGTTCTTCAATGTTTTCCTTTTTCTTTGTTCTCTTTCACTATTTTCATCCAATAATGAATTCAAGGTTGAACTTATCCCAAGAGTTTCTGAAATTCAGTGAGAATTTTTCAGCTGCGTAATCAAAAGGATCTGGTTCTGCGTTCACACATAACGTCCACACCTCCCTTTGGCTTGTTCCCCATAATTCAAAACTACTACTCTAATAAAGTTAGAGAAACACCAAAAAGCTTACAAATTTTCTCAAACACTTGTCCATGTCTCTGCCAAGTCCTTCTAGAGAATATTCCCCCTATTTTCTAAAACCACTCTCTTCCCGTTTTCATCCCGAATTCTTTGTCCAAATACGTACCAAATTTTGGCTACATTCGGCCATCTTTGGCCGTGAATGGAATTTGGGAATGGATTTCTCCCAAATTCCATCCATCCACCCATGCCGATGTAATACACTTAGAATTTTGGAACAATGATGTGGAAAGTCTAACGTGTCATCGTCCAAAAATACCACGAACATACTTTGATATATTAAGATCTTAATGAACGCTCTCCTCATTCATTCAAAGAAGTTATCACGAAGGAGCCACAGATAAAGAAACTTTTGAATATGTCATTGTGCGTCATTAATTCTTGTGTTCCGTCTAGCCAAGGAAATTAATGTAAATGAGGCTATGTGCAAAAAAATAATAATAATAAAAAAAAGTAAAACTACTTTGCGGATGAGAGGGAGTTATGGTCTGCGAAACGAGGAATTGGAGAATTGTGGGGTATTTGGCATGTTTCCTTGAGGACATACATTTGCCTATGTCAGCCTTATCTTTTCCTCCTTTAGCATCACTTCAAGACTCGTCATTCTTGTTCGTAAAATAAGCTAAATTAAGTTTTTCAGCCGGTATATGTGTTAGTATTACCATTGCTATGTTTCCTTGAAGATATACATTTGCCTATGTCAGCCTCATCTTTTCCTTCTTTGGCATTACTTCACTACTCGTCATTTTTGTTCGTAAATAAGTTAATTAAATTTGCTCTGCCAACTGCTCAAGAAAGGAGAATACTGCTGTACTTTTCCATATTCATTTCGTTCCACTTTGTTTGACACTATTTCTGACTATCAGTTCATCCCAAAAACTTTTATTATAACCAGAGAGCAAAAAGAAGAGATAATATTGAGAAATATGAAGTCGCATAATTTTGGGAAATTATTTGTATATCAAAACCTTGAGAAACAAACACTTGGATAACTCATGTACACGCTTGTATTCTTGTTCGTAACGGACTTCTGAAGGGCTTCACCAAATGCCAAAAGAGGTTTTCTCACACTTGTCTTTTAGCAAGTCTTATGAGTTCGATCATTACTAAGTTAAACAGCCAGTTGAATATATAGTGGGCATACGAATTTTTTGATACTGACTTCAAACAAAGAATGTCCCATTAAATAAGACCACCATCAATCAGAGTATCTTTTCTGGGGAATTATTTTTCTCCTTTTTTTCCTTGTCCTCGCTCTTTCATTATTTTCATTTAATAATGAGTGAAATGCTGAACATATCACTAGAGTTTCTGAAATTCCGTGAGAAAATTTCAACTTCATAATCAAAATTCAAAAGAATATAATAAACTCTTCAAGAACTCAATTATATTTTTTTATAAGAAATTCCTTCTTCTAAAAGCCAGCAGAAGTAGACAAACATGACAACAGACTCACCAATATTTATTCTCTTTTTGTTGTAGCACAGACCATAACTCCTTTCCCCAGCCTACCTCCATCTTCCCAACACCTTTTTACCATGATGAAGGAGCCGTTAGAATTCTCTGAAAGCTCTTCTAAAAATTCTACTTCTTTATCCATTGAAAATAATACTCCTATGAAAGATCATAGCAATAAATCTGGAGGGGTAAGACCATATGTTAGATCCAAAATGCCAAGACTCCGATGGACGCAAGATCTTCATCGCAGATTTGTGCATGCTGTTGAGACACTTGGTGGAGAAGATCGTACGCTACCTCTCTTTTTCCCTTTTCAGCTTGCATGAAAATTACATGCATTTGAATGAGCTAGCTATATATAGAAGTGTATGAAAAAGGGGCATTTCCTTTCTTAATTAAGTATTTACAATCCTTTTTTCATTTAAGAGGAGTGGACCTATGATGACTTTAGGAGAAAGGTTAATTAATTTCCAATAAGTACTATAGGAAAAAGATATGTCTCTTTCTATTCTTGGCTATTAGTATTTCCTATTAGTTGATATGGTGGGTTTAATGGAAAATTTTATTTTGTGTCTTATACAACCGACACTAGTTGTATGAGACATTTTTTTTATCTCATAGTTTTATTTTTGTAGACTCAAAAGTGTAAGATTGAGGTCCATAAATTTGTGAGACAAAAAAGGGTCTCACACAACTAATGTCAACTATAGTTGTAGGACACACAAAATAAAACTTCTCGTGTTTAATTAATTTAGGAGCAACACCAAAGATGGTGCTACAGTTGATGGATGTGAAGGGCCTGACAATATCTCACGTAAAAAGTCACCTTCAGGTTAGAGTCTAGCTTTTAATCTCTAGGGTTAATTGGAAAACCAACTTTTTGCTTCTGTTTATTTTCTCTTTTTTGTTTCATATCTGTAGCTTTAACATCTATTTTGATATGAATAGATGTACAGAAGCATGAAGCATGAACAGATGATACAAGGTATGCATTTAATTTCTTTTGATCAAACTAAATTTTATTTATATGTTTTGTGTATGTATTATATATGTGAACGAGTTCAGCTTCAAACTAACTTTTTTTCATTTGGGCTTCTTCTTTTTAAATTCTTTCTTGTCTTTATACATGGAACTGTGTGGCCAGATTGAAACTTGGTTTTATTATCTCATGAACCGGAGTCAATTGAATTTAGTTTATATATGTTTAATTTATCAATAATTAAGAAAGTACTAGGTAAGATTGAGAAATTTAGAATATGCATAATATATACCAGCAGGAATTAAAATCTGAGAGAGGTAAGCTCATAAGATTCACAACATCTCCAAATGTAATTATTTATATAGGTTAAAAATTCATTTTTTTTTTGTTTTGTTACAGCTGAAGCAGAAGCTGCAAATGGGAGTAAAAGGAATAGAATGGATATTGGTGCAGCCAATGGGAACTATCATCACTACTACAATATTAATGACAAAGCCTTCTTTGGTGCTCATCCTTTGAGTAATGTAACCAGTAATTATGCGGAGCTTGCCTCTATTTTGCCTCCTGCATGGTTCGTCTAATTAACTTCTCAAATTGTCTTTCTTTTTTCTCATCTATGAATTCATGTAATTAAATTCCATTTTCTATGAAAAGTTATAGGAGAAATACTGAATTTGATTTAATTTCTATGCACCTAGTAGCGTGAATAATTTTTATGAGCTGCATTATATAACTTAGACGCTTGCTTAATTAGCTCATTAACAAGTAAACTAAGCTAGTAACTTAAAATAAGAGACATGTAATCAGCTGTAACATATTAAATTACAATGATGGTATAAAAATTCTTTACACTGCTATTGTAAATATATAAGTGCGTTCTTGCTTACCTAGGTCCTTTTACAGGAAACATATGCAAGAGAGCAAGGAAAATAAGATCATGGGATTGGAAGGAAAGTCTAATTATTCCATCATGTTCAGGGATTTCTTCAATGGCTGCAGTGTTCAAGTAATTAGCGAAATATGTTTATAATTCTTTAACTTGATACAGTAAATTGGAAGCATTATAAGATTGGTACATATGACTACTTAACTAATTAGATTTCTTCTGCTTTTTGCAGGATATTGGCAACAGGAATAAAGTGGTAGGAGAAGCTAGCAGTTTGTCAAATAAGAGTCCATCTGCAGAAGAGGAAGATATCTCCAGCAGCACCATGTCCTTAGAGCCATCTGCCAGTTTTGATGTCAATAATCTCTCTCTTGACCTCACCCTTGCTTAATATCTTTTCGTCTGTTTCTTGCACAACCACCCCTATTCCGAATTTAGCGGAAAAAAGGCTTCTCGTTATCCTAATTTTAATTACTCTCAAGTCCTTGAGATCTGTTGTCATGGTAACCAACCTAGGTGGAACTTTGTACTAATTAATCAGTTTTTGATCAATCTGAGAATCGTTTAAACTTGCTTTAGTTTCATGCCACTTTTGAGGGTAGGATGTTGGGTTCGAGCCTCAACTTTAAATCCAATTAGGGTATGAGGCATTCTGTTAATTCCAATTTTACTTAGTTATGATTCGGCCTACCTCTCAACTTTTGTACTCGTATGCATGTTTTTTTTTTTTTTTTTTTTTTTTTTTTTAATGTGAAGCCACATGGTGGCTTTTTTTTTTTTTTTTTTTTTTATTTTAAACCCCAATGACTGTGTTCATATATTATCACTGTCACACCTCCTTTTTATACACCCGAGGGGTATATAAGGGAGTTTTTCCAATTAAAGCGACATTATTCGAAATAAGATTATTTAATTTATCAGAGTCGCCACTTGGAATAGTTTATTTGGTGTCCCAAGTCACCGATTTATTTTAAAATCCCAAATCGAGGAAATTTCAATTTTTATTTAAAGGTCTGCGAATCAGAAATTCTAGATAAGGAATTCTGTTAACCCGAGAGAAGGTGTTAGGCATTCCCGGGTTCCGTGGTTCTAGCACGGTCGCTTAGTGATTATTATTTGGCTTAAGTTGTTTAACTACTCATTTTTAGAACCTATGTGCATTTAACTCTATACTACTTTTAAATCACTTAAATTATGCGTAACTAAAGAATTGAGTTACGCGTACGTATACTCTCTTTTTTTTGGCGCGTCAAAATCATGTCACGCGAACGTATCCACGATTAATAACGCTTTTGTTGATTTATTAAGAAAGTTTGGTTGAAGTTGCGCGAACGCATTCCTCGAGTCTTTTTAGAGTTAAATTTGCAATCATATTACGCGGGCGTATATATAATCGCAATACTAATCTAAATCGGGCCTAAAGCAAACTACAATGGTTCAAATTAATAAGAGGTTTGCGAGGGCCATAAAAAACTTAATAATGGCACACCTCGATCTTAAAGAGTTATTACTAATTATACGAGGGCCATGGACTTAGTTTATCATGGCACACCTCAAATTCACAAATTTTAATTAAGGTTATGAGGGCCATATGTTATGGGTTTTAAACATGGCACACCTCAAATGGTTTTTTAGAAAGAAAAAAAAACTTATTCAATTAAGGTCACCTAGGATATTCCTATTTGAGACTTAATTTAAGCTTAACAACGGCTAACTCATTATGAAGGGTTTTTAATTGTTTTGGGACAAGGGGAATGGGCCAGTAAAAGCCTGCTAACGAATCAGCTTTGAGAGCTGGTATTTGGGCTCGCAATTGGCCCAAAAATTGAAAGGGATCTTGGGCATTATTGACGGATTCGAATCAAGTGACCCACATTGGGCTCAACTTCAGGCGGGCCCAGAAGGATACATTCTCTAATTTGAGCCTATCCACCTTTCACCCTATCTATATGAATTAATGAAGTAAAAAGCTAAAAATGAAACCATTCTTTGGAAGAAAAACCAAGACAAGACTGGTTCGAAAATTAATTCTATCATATTAAATTGCAAGACACATGAGATATGTATACAACTGATACTAGGTTGAAGCTGGAATCCAACTGCCTAGGCCCAATGGCCCAGGTCAGACTTGCTTGAATGAGCCCAATACTTGAGTCTGCTTGCAATTGCAACCTAGTTCGAAATTCACATACATCTCCCAAACATATTCATTGCACCAAACAAAGAAAATTTACTACTGTAAGCCTACTGATAATCGAGCTTAAGTTAAAATTAACAGTCCATTTACAGCATTGAAAGTCCCATAATTTATACATTGAAGCCTTTAATCAGTATCCTAACAGCTATTATCTAAAGGAAATTCTAAAAGAAAAGTAAAGAAGTACAAAAAATTGAAAGCTTCTTCTGGTTTGAAATTCCTTCCATCAATTTCTTCAAGACCAAAGCATGAGATCTGCAAGAGGTCAGCTACTGAGCTGCTTTTCACAAGTTGTTCTTAGACTCCCAACCTGAAGTTTCTTACTACCAAATCAACCTCTGTTTTCTAAGTATTTTTTTTATGGATCTAACCATGTGAAAAAGTCAAATTCATAAAAAACTACTTCAGTTATACTAACATTCTATACTGTCAGGCCCAACACTTATACACCTAATGCAGAAAACAGTAACGATTCATGAGTTTAACCATGTTAAGTGTTAAACACATGAAACACCACAAGTTTCAAGCTCAAAATCATGGCAGGCTGCTTTGGTGAAGTGCTAAAATGAACTCAAAGGGAGTGAAAAAAAGGGAGGCTTAGTCTATGGACCTGACCATGTAGGGGTCAGGCTCAATGAACCAGCCTGGTTTTGAGAAGGGGAAAGCTTGAACATATGGACTAATCATTGCAAGAATAAAAGCAACGCATACTAGCAGGAAAGAATTAACACTATCAAAGAGGTTAAAGCATTATTATAGAAACTAGGGGTAAAGAAATTCAAGCATTTTTGAGATAAAGAACAGCCATAACACCATTGCAATTTCAACATGCAAAACTCAACAAGACATACATGAACAGTGCCAAACAAGGAAAAACAACTCATATTCATCTTAAGTCTCAATTACATAGCAGTCAAAATAGGAAAAGATTTACATATACCTTGACAGAGCAATGATATAACAACTGCAATGAGGGTAAGACTGTTGGAAAAGGTTCAGGAGCAGAAAGCAGCAGCAATGACCAAACAGCTTTAGCAAAACTAAAGAAACCCCAAAATTTCAAAACCAGAATGCCACTTGAAAAGTCAAAAGTCCCAACAAAAACATAAAAATATTCTTCTTTTCAACTCATTTTCAGCTTGTTAACAGCAGGAGATTTTTTTTTTTTCTTTTTTTGAAGTTTTTCTAAGATTTCCTTAAGTCTGAAATTCAGAGAAGAAAGAAATTTTTTCTGCAGAGAATGGTGTTGAGTCCGTGTGAAATTCTGTATGGAAGGTACTATATATAGAGGTATATAAGGCATTATGCTGATGGAATCATTCTTCAGCCATGAACAGCATATTCTAAACAGAATTGGGACAACTGGTCTTTTCCCATTGGTTTCAGTACTTTGTACTATCCAAATGAGGCGAGTTGCCCCTGTTTCTAGAGTATTTTAATATTTTTAAGACAGAAAACCCTAAAATACCCTTTTAAAACCTGCTTATTACAGCCTTTATTTAAAATTTCTATGTTCACTTAGGTCCCTAGAGTTTCTAATGGTTGGCAAATCAAGACTAACACCCTAGGGCCAAAATCAGCACGCACAAAAAAATCCAAGGAAAGACCATTGAGCAAATAAAATTTAAACTAAAAACAGACTCGATTTGTAGGGACATAATCTGGAACATTTAACAAAATGAAACAAACATGTATGAAAGCTTTTTTTAAAACATGAAATTCAAATGAAGATCGTTAAACTTATGCACAAGCAACAAACTCTAACTTAAACTAAATATGTGAACAAAAATCTGAAATTAGCCTAAACATGCAATTAGTCAGAGATGTAATTAGAAAAGAAGAAAAGAAATGAAACCACGGAAGAAACTGAGTAACAAGATAAACTAACCTAAAAACAAAACCTAAAACATCATGATTAACAGAAAACCTAAAATATGCAATTTACAGATAGAATAAAACTCAACGGAAAGTCAAACAGAAGAAAAGAAAAACGAATGGCCAGGGGAAAAGGAAAAAGAGGATAAGATAGAAAGAAAATTCAGAAAATTACCTATAACAGAACAATTAGAGTCGGAGAACTTGGTCGGAGTCAGGACACTTCGAACAATAGGTCTAATCCACAAGAGTCAACTGCTCTTATCAAACACAGTCGACTCATGTAGAATAGATCCATTAAAACCTTGAATCGATTCGGGCAGGGGTCTTTTAGGGCTTTTGAATCTAGGATCTAAAATTCGGCCAAATAGGAACCGATTTGGATAGGGATAAAGGTTGCTTAGGGCTTAGAGAGGGGTAAGGGTTGTAGGATGTTAATTTGGCATGATTTGGAGCAATTAAGGTTTTGGCCAGATCCTTTGATTCAAAATTTGAAGGATTCGACGGTGATTTGAAGGAAAAGGAGTTGAGATTTGGGATGGGGGGTTGTGGTGGTCTTAGGGTATTATTTTGGGGGCGATTGGAACGTTTAGGGTTTTCAGTCGAATTTTCGATCCAAGATTCAAACAGCTTGGGCCTGAATCAAAGGAAAGGGAGTGAAGATTTGGGATGGGGAGGCGAAGGGGAGTTCAGGGTATCATTTTGGGTCCGAATGGACCACAGAAAAATTCAAATAATTCAGAAAATTCTACAAAAATTCCTAAAATGGCCAATAATTAAACAAAAATCTATTTTTCTTGGAATTTTATAGGAGTATTTCATATGGGACAAAAATCACATGCTCACAACCACCAAAAGAAGTGGGCATCTGCCAACACTTCAAAAAAAAGGCCAAGGTACATTCCACCTTGACCTGTATCAACTAAGAGTTCTTTAGCTAACAAAAAAGTTCGCTTTGTCGTACCTTAGCCTTATGCTAGGTAACTGCATTCTATCCAACAAATATGGTCCTACTACACATCCAGGCAAGCTTTACCAATCAAAATACATACAAGGATCAACTAAGTTAGCAGCAGCCTTTGCCAAGCTACCAGTAGTCTGGTTCGCTTCTCTGAAGTAATGAGACACTGTACAATTAAGCTGAAGCATGATCTGCCTTAAAGCATCAATTTGTTCCTTCATTTTCAAGTTAGTAGAGTGATTGTTTTCAGCATTTCAACAACTACCATAGAATCCATTTCCAAGTCACAATTTACATAGCCATGTTGCATACACCATTAAGCACCAAAGAGGGTTGCTCGGGCTTCTGCCAGAATGTTACTAGAGCATATAGCTAGAACTGAATATTCCATAATCATGTCACCTGTATGATGTCTAACAACCCCGCCTATTCCTACTTTTCCTTCCGTGAAGCTGCTATTACTGTTGATCTTGACTCTATTTTCAAGTGGTCTCAACCACTTAACAATCTTCCATATCGGAGTTGGTTTGAAGCTTTCAACAATTTCACATAGTTCCAACCATGAATTTCCAAAGTTACAGTTTTTAAAAGTTCTTCCCATCATCATTTTGATTATCCACCAAGATTGGTGTTCCATGGTATCCTGCCATATTTTCTTCTGCTCCCCGTACCTACATGCGCATCTGTGCTTCTAAATTTTCCACACAACCACAATTGGTGTGATGTGTAGGACCATTTTATGTACCCCGTTCTTTGGTTTAGTCTCCCACCATTTCTTTAACATGCTGTTAATAGATTTGGCCCTATCATCGATGACCAAATGTCCACCAAACTTCTTCCACATTCTATTAGCTGCTTTCCCATTCAGAAATACATGTTAAAGAGTTTCCCTCTTTGGAACATTTCAACAGACACACTCAGATACAACATTGCTTCCAAACATTCCCATAGTGTCATCAAAGGGCAGCTTCTTTTGTATCAATCTCCAAGCCAAAAATGATAATTTAAAAGGGAGCTTTGGATGACATACCTTATGCCTAAATGGATCCTTCTGCCTTGGAATGTTAGTGAGGGAATGAGTCGACTTGGTTGAGAATTGCCTGTCTGCTGAAGGGTCCCAAACATCACAGTCTTTTGCATTTGGGTCACCAATCTTTACTTTGAATATTTGGCTAACAAATCGTTCAGGTATGATCTCTACTAGCTTCATAACATTTCATTTTCTCTCTTATATGTAGTCTCCTACCTTATCTTTAGCAAACTTTGCTTGACATGGGATTAGGTGAGCCAGTGCCCCATTTCTTGTCCAGTTATCCCACCACAAATTGTTGTTTCCCATTTGAATTTTTCAAGTCAAATTATGTTTTGCTTTCCTCTTGATCTGCATCATCTTTCCCCATGAATGGGATTGTTTTGAGCTGCTAGCCTTAGCAATAGGATGAACTCTTGAACAATACTTTGCTTTCAAGAATGATGCCCATAGAGAATCTTCAATTCTGAATTTCTACCAGCTTTTGCAAGCAAATGAGTCGCTTATTGCTTCCACTCTCTTCATTCCAATTCCTCCTTCCTATTTTGGGTAGCACAGGTTTTCCCAAATAGACCAATGATAGCTTTTCTTTTCATTGCTTGTACCCCAAAAGAATCTCGCTGGGTACATTTCTATTAATTTTAGTGTACTCTTAGGTGGGTTCATTACTACTAGAGTATATGTTGGAAGTGATTGGAGCACATGTTTGATTAATATGGCCTTTTGTCCACTGGATAGTAGCTTGCATTTCCAACCATAGATTCTTTTAATGATCTTGGTGAGGAGATCATCAAAGTAACTTAGCTTTTTTCTTCATATATATAAGGGGCAGCCCAAATAATAGAAAGGAAATTGCTTATGCTTGTAACCAGTCTTGTCTATCATCCTGTTAGCCCTGGAAATAGATACCTTTGGAGATGTGCAAAAGACGCTTTTGTCTTCGTTAACTTTCTACCTAGAACTCCTCTCATAGAGCCTAATCTGCTTCACTACAAGTCTTATCGTCTTACTCTTTCCTCCAGAAAAGATAACCATGTCATCTTCGTAGGCCAGGTGATTGATTCTGGGTCCTCTATTGTTCATAGAGAAAGGAACAAACCTCTGGTCATCATAAAGTTTATTTAATAATCTCAAAAATACCTCAGATCTTATGATAAACAGAGCTGGATAAAGAGGATATCCTTGTTTCAATCCTTGAAGAAATCCCTCCTAGTGCCATTAACAATTATCGAGTACCATACCTCTTAAATCAATCTGCCAATAGCCTCGGTCCACCAGCTGGAGAAGCCAAAATTTCTAAAGACAGATAACAAGAACTCCCAAGATACTCTGTTATACGCCTTTGCCATATCTAGCCTTATCACCATATTTCCCCTTGTGTTAGGTTCTGATATTCCATGGATTATTTCTTGAGCAAGTAATACATTATCAGTGATTAGCCGACCCTTCACAAATCCACTTTGATTCTCTGAGATTAGTTTAGGAAGTAATGGATTTAGTCTTCTAGCCAATATTTTAGAGATGATCTTAGCCGAGAAGTTACTCAGACTTATTGGTCTAAAATCAGCAAATGTAGTTGGAGAATCCACTTTTGATATTAAGACCAAGCATGTATGTGAGTAGAATCTTGTAAGCTTATTGCCATTGAAGAAGCTCTTCATAAATTCTATGACATCAGTAGCAATAATAGACCAACACTTGTGGTAAAATGTATCATTGAATCCATCTAGGCCTGCTGAACTTGTTGGACTCATATCTAGGACTGCTTCTCTAACCTCATCTCCACTTACCATTTGTGATAGTAAGTCATTGTCTTCCCTGGTTATAGATTATGTGATGCAGCTGTGTGATGACCTAAAAAGTAATCACTTATTTGTAAAATAAATTCTGCATTTCAAGGCCTTAAAAACTTCTTTCAGCATCACCTCGATTTGTGTATACAGTCCGGGCGCGTAGCCGGAAAACTATTATGTGAAAATCTGTGAAAATATTGAAATTTTGACTTAAAATGCATTTAAGTTGACTTCGGTCAACATTTTAGGTAAGCGGATCTGGACCTGTGATTTGACAGTCTCGGAGGGTCCGTGAAAAAATATGGGACTTGGGCGTATGCCCGGAATTGAATTTCGAGGTCCCAAGCCCGAGAAATGAATTTTTTAAAGAAAATTATTTTCTGAAAATTTCTATGAGTTTTGGAAATGAAATGCATTCAGAATTTGATGGTATCGGGTCCGTATTCTGGTTTTGAAGCCTAGTACAAGTCTTATATGTGGAATAAGATAAGTCTGTAAAATTTGGTAAGAAACGGATGTCATTTGACGTGATTCGGACCTTAAATGCAAAACTTCATGTTTTAAGAAGTTTTGAAATATTTCATTGATTTTGAGGTTTAATTCGTTGTTTAAGGGGTTATTTTGGCGATTTGATTGCACGGATATGTTCATATGATGTTTTTGAGTTAGTGTGCCTGTTTGGGTTGGAGCCCTGAGGGCCTGAGTGAGTTTCGGATGGGTTTCGGAAGGTTTTGAACTCATAAAAAGTTGCAGGTTGTTCAATTTCTGATGTTCTGGTATGTCCTTCTTCGCGTTCGCGGGAGGACCCTCACGAACGCGATGAGTTAGTCAGGCTGAAGGAGATTTCATTCTATGAGAACGCGAAACCCAGGTCACGAACGCGAAGCTTTGGGGGTTTTCCCTTCGCGAACGTGGGCTTGGTAACACGAATGCGAAGGCTTACGGGCCTGGGCAGGGGGAGGGGTATTTTACCCTACGCGAACGCGTCCACACGAACGTGAAGGCTCTGGGGGCTGAAGCTCCATGAAGGTGAGCCTTGTGTCGCGAACGTGATGGTTTATTTGCCCTGACCCATCGCGAACACGACAGGCCTGTCGCGAACGCGATGAAGGCCTGTCCAGTGATTTTAAAATAGAACAAAAACGGGATTTAGCCAAAAATTCATTACTTCTTCTTCCAAACTCCAAATTGGGCAATTTTTGAAACGGGATTTCACCACAAATTTATAGGTATGCAATCTTAGACTCATTTTCTTCAATTTATATTAGCACCCATTAGATTTCTAGGCTTAAATCATGTTCTTAAGCGTAGAAAATTAGGGATTTGGGTAGAGTTAGGGCTTTTTGTATAATTGTGATTTAAACCTCGTTTTGAGGTCAAATTTTGGAACTAATTATATATTCGGGATTGAGGGTGAATGGGTGATCAGGTTTTGGTCCGAACCTCGTGTTTTGACCAAGCGGACCCGGGGTCAATTTTTGACTTTTTGGGAAGAATGATAGGAAAGCTATAATTAAGCATTGGAATTAGATTGTTTAGGTTTATTGATGTTATTAAATCGATTATGTCTAGATACAATTGATTTGGAGCCGAATTCAAAAGGAAAAGCGATGTTTGAGGCTTGAGTTGGCCGTGGAAGTTCGAGGTAAGTGTTTGATCTAACCTTAGCTTGAGAGATTAGGAGTTGTGTCCTATTTGCTACTTGTTTCTTGTTGAGTACGACGTATAGGCATGGTGACGAGTATCTATACATTGGTGTCGAGCATGACGGTGAGTCTTGAATTGTAATTTATTGTGTTCTTAAATAATACTACGGATGCTTAAGTTGATGACTCTCTGTATTGAGAAAGGATCGTGATTATTCTCGTGGCAATTACTTATGACTGAGTATTGATGTTAGATGAGGTAGTTAGATATTGGAACAAGTTTGGTTATAGTTGTTTCTCCTTGCCGGGATGTTGTTACTTATACTGTCGATTCCCTTGTCGGGATAGTGTAGTCCTTTATTGATCCCTTGTCGGGACTCTTGCTATGATTGTTGTTGATTGTATATGTGGATCGGGTTTCATGCCTCAACAATGATATATTTGGATCGGTTTGCACGCTGCAACAATGAGATATTTGGATCGGGTTGCACGCCGCAACAATGATATATTTGGATCGGGTATCACGCCGCAACAATGATATATTTGGATCGGGTTGCACGCCGCAATAATATTATGTGTGTTTCGGGTTGCATGCCGCAACAATGATAAATGATATAGATCGGGTTGTGCGCCGCAACAGTGTTGATATATATTGGGATCGGGTTGCGCGCCGCAACAATTGCTGATACAAAGTGTTTATAGACTGGATACAAATTTCTTATTGTTTTGCTGTGAAATCTAAGTTGTTCTTATGTTGTTACTCTTGATTTATTGTTGATATTGGTATACCCCGCAGCATGTACCCCCTCCCATATTTACTTGTTTATTTCTATTTTATTTTCTGTTGTATATTATATATCTGCACAGGTTATTTGGTAGTCTGGTCCTAGTCTCGATACTACTTTGCCGAAGTTAGGCTAGGCACTTACCAGCACATAAGGTCAGATTGTGCTGATACTACACTCTGCACTATGTGCAGATCCGGGAGCAGCTCTTGGACCATAGCATTTGGGTGGTTGCCTTCAGTCCAGCTAGAGATCCCGAGGTAGTCCTGCAGACGTCCGCATGCCCGACGTTCTCTTCTATCTTATTATGTGCTCTGTTTTCACTTGTATCTGAGATAAATTATACTTCCTTTTTCAGACACTTGTATGTAGTACTCATATACAGTCCGTGATATTGTGACACCGGATTCCTGGTAGAGACGTATGTTGGCATTTAGTACTGGTTTTGGTTATTTTATTAGTTTAAGTCTTCCGCTTATTTTATTTATCATTAACATTCAATGTTGATTACCTGTTAATCTCAATTGTTAAAAAGGGGTAAAATGAAAGGGTTAGTGATTCTTCATTTGCGTGGCTTGCCTAGCTTCTACGAGTAGACGTTATTACGACTTCCGAGGGTGGGAAATCCGGGTCGTGACAAGCTGATTACATCCCTATTTACAACAGTAGCATTGAGATTAAACATGGACTCAAAATGTCAAACAACAGCCTTGGATATCTTTTCATCCCCTTGAATCCATCTTCCTCTATGATTCTTCACTTTGTGGAGTTGTAATCTTCTTCTTCTATCCTTGATAGCATTGTGAAAGTATCTATTATTGCAGTCTCCTTCCTCGAACTATTTTATTTGGGATTTTAGCTTGAGCATTAATTCTTGCATTACCATCCATCGTACATATTCTGCTTGAGCTTTGTTCAATTCTGTTCTGGATTGTTCTGTGTTGTTGCTTTGATCCAGCTCTTCCAGCTTTTGTACCACTCTTTCCCATGCATCCACATTTTTATACACATCCCCAATGACTTCTTTAAACCATCTACTAAGTCTCCTACCCAGTGCTTTTAGTTTCTGCTAAAGTCTCCACACAGGATTTCCAGCCACTTGTCTATCCCATACCTCTTGGACTAATTCATAGAATCCTGGTTGATCAACCCAGAAGTCTAAAAATTTGAAGTACTTAATATGGTCAACTAGGTCCTCTTTATGTTTCACTAGCAAAGGTCTATGGTCTAATCCTGATCTACTAAGATGCCTCACTACTGTATTCTGGAATTTATGAATCCATGAATCATTAGTGAGGACTCTATCGAGCCTTTTCCATACTCTTTTCTTGGGATACCAATTACTACACCAGGTATATGTAGATCCAACATATCATGTATCTGACACCCCGCAAAGGTCAAGACATTCTGCAAAATCATAACTTTTTGAAGCTCTATGTGGCCTGCCTCCCAGCTTTTCGCAGTGTTCCAAAATAACATTGAAGTCACCCCCTATACACCATGCACCATCAACTTATGATTCTGTATTCACCAAACTTTCCCACAAGTCTTTCCTTTCCCCAGCAGTACACTTTGCATAAACAACAGTTATGAAGATCCCATCATCTTCATTTTTTGATTCAAATCGTAGAGTCATTTGTTGATCATCCATGCTTATCACATTGGCATTCACATATTCTGACCAAAAATACCATATTTTTCCAATCTCGTTAGACATACAGTGTTCAAACTCAGGAACCTTTTGTATCCCTCTTTTTTTTTTGTGAACAAATGGTTCAAAGATCGCAACAAACTAAATCTTATTTTTCTTTACTAAGTTTTTAAGCCTATGATTGGCTTTTTGAGACCTCATTCCCCTAATATTCCAAAATATTGCACTGGTCATCAATCAGTTAGGATTGTTGGCTTTATGTCCTCCCCTCAGAATGAGGTTTGGATTTAAGTTTCCTTCTTTTTCCACTTTTCTTGCATCTGCTTCTGCTTCTGCCTCTACTTCTTCCTCTAAGGGACAACCCTTTATTATCCTCCACCTGTTTTAGGTGTTTTTGGAAGCTGTCTTCTTGCTCAACAATTAGGCTGTCTACTTGTTCGTCTTTCGAGCTATTAGAAGCCTCCTCCTCAAGTTGCTTCAAACAGTCATCATTCAATGTTTGTATAACCATCTCGTTTGTATTTTGGAAAGCCATCTAATGCTTCCGCAGATCCACCACCAGCTGAATACCCAGCTAATTATTAATTCGGACCTTAGGCTTGACGACTCCAATATAGACTCTTCTACCCTTCGAGTGTTGCTGCCGAATTTTTCAGTACAGGCCTGCTTTGTTTTTCCCTGTACTTCAGAGCTAGTTTGTGGTATCTCATTTGTCTTCTTCTCCACATTGTATATATTATTAGAGGTCTCTATTTTGTGAGTTGTAGCCTCCATTTGGCCCTTTTCTTGCCCAGCATGCCCCCCCCCCCAGGTGAGGTTCTCTATGATCCTTTGCTTTGCCTTATTTTTGTTCTCTATCAGCTTTCTTGTCCCCGGTTTGAAAGTCACATTTGGTTTCTTTTTAGCAGTCTTCTTTGCACTTTCATTCCTCTTCTTCTTCCTTCTTGTTTTCTTCCTCATTGTGTTATCTTCTTCTGTGCTATCTATCTTTTCTGTGATGGGTGTTTGCGCTCTCAAGTTTGTATTCATTTTTGTCATATTGTTTTTCATTAGTTTCATTAACTTCCCTCCCTCCCTGTCCTTTCCTTTGTTCTGTTCCAACTGCTCCTCAGCTACTTGCCTCGTCTCCTGGAATAATTATCTGTTGAGTAGCTTGTTGTGTCTTACCCTTTTCTTTATTCCTCTTGTCTGCCTCTTCATTGCCCTCTTGTGATTTTTCTGCCATTCTTTATATCTCCCTCTTTCTGTTTCTTCTTCTCCAAAACCATGCATTCGATCAATGAATGCTCGAGCTTTTTACAGTGCCTACGGTACTTAGGAACTCCTTCGTACTCCACCATTTGTGTAAAGCCACTCAATGGAGAGTCATCATCTTCTAAACCTACCCAGACACTAGTTAGCAATAACTTCAGTAGATCAACCTCCACTCTAACCTTCGCCATACTAAGATGGGTCCTGCAGGCAGTAGCTATGTCCATCCCTAATGAAATTCCAACTGCATTGGCTACCTGCTTGACATAGTGTCAAGTGTGCATGTGAAATGGAAGTTGAGGTAATAAAATCCAAACTGGGACAATTGGGATGTTTTCTTCTGGTTTAAAGTCTGGCGTCCATTTCTGGAGCCACATTTGACGGCCTTCAATTTCAATAACCCTCCTGAATCATATTGTATTGACATCCTCATGGTTGGAAAAATCTAGGAACACATTGTGATTATCATAGATTCCAATTTTCACCGATCCCTTTAGGGCGAATTTCTCCGCAAATCTCGATCTAATTTTCTCAATTTGTGGTCTGATTTTGATAAATCTTCCCACAATGGTTCTTCTACATTCCTCCTCCATAACTCCATAATAGTCCTTTGCTTTGAAGATTATAGCAGGTATTCCATTATGTGTTGTCTTCCTTGCAGATACAGCTTTACATCCCCGGCTAGAGGATGACGCCGTTGTAGGAGGAGATGTGGTCACTCTAGTGGCATATGAGATCTTCCTTGTGATTCCATCCAGAGGCTGAATCGGCGCTTCTAGGGGTTTCGTTTGGGCTGCCGAACGCGTCGTATTAGCGCGGTCCAGTGGCTCCATGGGGAGGGATATTTAGGTTGTAAACGATGGTCTTTTGGATGAGATTTTATCGGGCGCGTGAGGCGCGTTCAAAACTAACTACTACTAACAAACTTGCATCTCTCATATGCATGATTTATTACTAGATTGTGAGTTTATGGGATGTCGCATATGATTATGCTTTATGTTTTTTTTCCGCTGCTACGACAAACTTTTTTGATAACACTTTGAATTACCATTGATAATAAACGATAAGAGTACACCTATTAAACACCTCGACCCTAAAACTCTTCATCTAGAGAGCTTCGGATCAGGCCTTAGAAAATCACTAGTTACACATCAACCTTTGTATCAGTACACACATCTCTTATATATTATTATATATAACTTGGGAAAATATTCGCGCTTCGTGCGATTATAAAAGTTTCTCGTAGTAATAATAAAATTAATATTTTAATATATGAACACTATAATAGCCAAAAGTTCAATGGTATATTTTCAATGTACTTAAATATTTATTTAAAAAAATTCCGTTTTGAGCCCTTGATTTGTCAATTTACCATTGCATTTGTTTTCTTTTGAAAAGGAAAAAGTGTTCCTTTATTTCCAAACTTTGACATAATTTTTGGAACTCCATCTTTATTTTATAAATACTTGATTATATTTTTACTACTTATATAAGTGTAATTGTTGACATACATTTACATAAAAAGTATTTTTTATATATAAATGTGCATATATCTTATTACTTTTTTCTTGAAAGTTTTTAAAAATAATTAATTTAATTAAGTGTGTCTTATCTAACAAATTTGATATGTTAGAAATTCCAATTTGATTTATATAATATTATTAAACACAAGAAAATAAGCAATTCATATAAATATAAGAAAGTTTCAAACCCCTTTTACTTTTTTTTCTTTTTCATGAATAAACAATCTTGAAATTGTAATAATATGAATTACTCTATTTGGTATTTGCAATTCAATTCTAATCATAACCACTTAATAATTCATCTCGAGATTTCTATGAACTTTTGGAATATTCATCAAAAAAACCTTTTTGAAAATTTCATAAATTCAAAATATTCACAACAAGATCAAGCATAAAATAATGTCTTTCTCAAAATCGAATTGATCAAGAGACGCCTTCCTCATGATCAAATGAATTGCAGTCGGTCACTTCTTGTGGAGCATAAGCCGGAGAGCACGATTGATTAATAAGATTACTCTTTTTCTATTAAAAAAACTAAAGAATAATTACATAGGCTAAAATAGGAAGAAACGATGAAAGATGAGAAGCCTATTTCATACACTCATAGCTTTTTCTTTCAAATTTTCAATGCATATGTAGACAACGTGTATAGAATAAGATTTTTTGGTTATTCTAAATTGTAGATCTTACACTTGTTTAAGTATTCATTCACAAGTAACATACATCTATATATAGATCTTACACTTGTTTAAGACACAATAAATGCATGATATTATTTACTCTACTAATTAGAGATACTCTTTTGATTTAATTTTCTTCATATTTCTTTGTTTTCTTTCTTACATCTTTATCACCCGCCACTAATTTGGATAAATTTGTAATAACTGCTTTAAATATAGGCAAATCTCCTTTTCTTCCACAGGAAAAACATCCTAATAATACTCTATCATCTCAGAAAATATATTTTTATCATGCACAACATGTACAACCTTCTTCCATATAGAACTCATAACAAAGAAAAGTAGAGTAACCATATAGTCTGAAAATTCAACTGAAAGACTAAAGAGATGGTAGAATAGCAAAGTACAGAGAAAAAAAATCTTCTTACGAGATACGATATTATACAATCTTATTACCGATCACATGTAACAACACTAAGAATGTTGTGAGGAAAATACACCGCTGCTAAATCTCCCCTCTGATTTTAGCATTTTGATCAGATCTCTCCTCTACCTCAAATTTAATTTCTCGCAATTTTCATGCTCTCATCCAGATCTTGTTCATCTGGATTGTGAGACCGATTTTTGCTTCAGTAATTTCAAGAAGAATGCCACTTCCTAATGAGAGCTATGACTTATAAGAAAATATTGACAGAATAGTTATTAATGTTCATAATTATCATTTATTCCCCATTTAAAACCTATCATGAAAATTGTTATTACAAAAAGCATAACGTTTTTTGGTATAAATATTAGTAGAACTTTTGGGTGTTAGAAACTTTTGAGCTTCTTCAACTTTTGATTTCTTCTGCCACATCACCTTGCCAATTCCCAGCTTTATATAAATATATAGATGTATATAAGTTCAATTATTATATATTATTATTCGTATATGCATTGAGTTATGAACGTTGATTCGCTTAGTGTGTAGTCACTCGCTACACGACCTCTTGTGTTTGGGTTGTGACAGATAGGATTTGATAAGGAATATCTATGCTTAGCTTCATTGTTCAAGAAATTTCAAGAATTAATCAATACATTAGTAAGAGATGCTAATAGCATACACAGTATTCAAACGATTAACTAGTTAAAGAATATACATTTAAAAAGATTAAAGAATATGTTCCACTACTACTACAAAAATATGTAAAACATCAGAAAAGCTTGCTTGCAAACTCGTCCAAATCATCAGCTTTCAATGAAGAAGAAGCAGCAAGATTTCTTAGATCTGATAAGCTCCTCCCTAACTTCAAAGCCACCTTCATTTCAAACACTTCACCATTTTCTCTTCTTTCAATGTCTGTTTCCCTCAAGTTTGATTCAATTGATTGTTGCATGTACTCGAAGAAACCAGCGTTACTCCTGTACATTTCGAATACCATTCCAACTTGTCCCCCATGCTCAACCATGTTAACAACGCTTGCTAATGCGCCACCAACAATTCCCAGCATGGCTGCCCAAGATCCATGAGAAGGAGAAGAATCTACAAATGCAGAGCCAATCGCTGCTAGGCCTGTGAGTAAAGGACCAGAGATGGCTAAAAACTTGTTCAATTTTATGGCCTTTTTACCCAGCCTAATATATTCTTCTTGGTCCTTTCTGCCCAACACACCCATTATTTCTTTCATATCCTCCTCCAATTTTCTGCTCCAGTCATTTCCATTGCCGCTGACCCTTTTGGGTTGTCTTTGACGCTGTTGGGGCCACCAAACAGCAGGTTGAACAGAAGACGGAAATTTGTCAAGCATTACTCCAAGAAGAGGAAGTGGGTAGGCCTTGTCAAGAGCCAATACTTTGTCCATCGTTCCTTTGACATCAATATCAGAAGGGTGACCGATTGATAAAGTTGTTTCGATTTGGTTATAGAAATCTTGAAACAGCCTTGTTGCCTTTCTTTGTTCTTCAGCAAGCTGGGATGGTTGAATCTTGTTCATGATAATCAACATGCCAGTAGCAGCCAAATACAACAAAGTAGAAGACATTTTTAGTCCCAAAACAGAATCACCACTAATAGCTGCAACTCCAACCATTGTAGCAGCAGCTAGAATTATGCCATTAATGGATGTCAAAAGCATACTGTTCCACTGGCTTCTTTGCTCCCCTATATTCCTGTGCATCTCTACTCTATCTGCAACTGCCTCCTTGATTGCGTAAAGCTTCTCTACAGCAAGCATATCAGGATCATTAATCATGTCACCTCTTTTTGAAGGGGAGTTAATAAGTTGTTTCTCAATTGTGTTGAAGTTGAGCTGTTCATGCTCTGATATTCCTCTTCTTTGAATTAGTCTAGGGAGGGAGATTTTATTCGTCCGAATATTGGGAATATTGATCTTTGCTGTAATNTATATATATATATAAAAGGAGAGTTGACGAACGGAAATAGTACGAGTAGTATATTATTTTCAGCAGTTGAATTGAATGAAAGTACATGGCTAAGATTATTATTATTTTTTGGCTTCGAATTTTGGTGACCTGGGGCGTGCAGTCACAAACTTTGATATTGTCGCTGTTTCAGGTATAATTGGCTGCTTTGACATTGACTTTCAACCCAAACTTTTGTAGGGTATGAATTTTGAAACGACCAACCAAGCGGTTTTCATTCTCCTTTTCCATCCTTTGAAAACTAAGTCTTTTTGGAATGATATCTTCAAACCCAATAAAACAGTTACTATTCCTAAACATAGAATAAATATTCTAGTGATCTAGTCGTATTAATATATGTACTTTATCTATGCTTTCTAGGAGTATTCTAACCCTATCAGAGATTCTTGCACTTGTTATTTTTTTTATTTTTTTGTAATGTTAAATGGAGGATATTTTTAGTAAGAATTATATAGTTGGTCCTAACTTATTTGGGGCTGAGCCATAGTAAATATTGTTATTCGTTTGAACTTCGGTTATTTCATTTTTATATGCTGCAAATTAAAACGTAAAACAATTTTTGAATTTGGATCATATTTTTTCATTTTAGTTTGGTACCTTGGGTATTATCATATTATATTATGGGCGCTTTGTCCCTAAGTACGCATGTAATATTTTCTTGTATATATCCCTACTTATCTCACTTTCCTCTAAATGGAAAATTACACACATTTGAAAGAGCACAAGAAATATAATTCAACTTGTTCCCCAACAAAAAGTATTGCTAGAATACATTATTTATATATTTAATTTTTGTCATAGTAATATGTTTCTGAGCACCCAAATTGGAACGAAAAGAGCATGTCATGTCTTTGTCATGCTTGCTTGTGCAAACGCCATGCATTCCTACAAATTCTGCGCATATAACTTGACAAAGATGAGAGCGATTTCAAACAAAATGCAAGCAATGTTGAAGTTTCATTCTACCTACTATTGCTGGCGCATATCGTACGTACTGCTATAATTTCTGCTAATATCGTCCAAAATAGATGTCAGTATGTCGAAAAAATGAAAAACAAAAGTTGAGAATTTCTTTTTAATACTACTAACTAAATGGAAGAAGCTGGGAATATTGAATTGGGGATATGGAAACAGTCGTTGGCCAGTATTATGTCAAATATTAATTAAACACAAATGATTATTGAAGTCATAAAATCTACGTAACAACAGGCGTTAGCTATGCGAGGATGTAATATTGACTAATAGCTTTGCTGTGGAATTGCGGTACAAGTCATTTACCATCTTAACCGGTAAATACAGAACATTTATCGTCTTTTGACTTCCATTTTCGAAATACATATAACTGCAAAGTCAAGTTTGTTTTTTGTAGTATTATGATATCAACATAGCATTTGCTAGAGGAGTAATGAATCCCCAATTTCACCGGCGTCATTTTTCATCTTTCACTGGAAGATGGAGGGATATTCTTAATGTTGTGAGACCTTTTGTTAAAAATTATTATTTGTGGCTTGAATTATTTTCTTATATTTTTAGGAAACTCATAGTCCCTATAGGTTTAGGTAAACCCATTATCCTAATAGATTTGGAAAAGGAAAATTTATAGTCCTTGTCAAATTGGGAAACCTTTCTCATATATGTTTGGGACCTTTTGGGATCTATATATAGGGATTGTAGTTGAGGACTCTATAGATTGTATAGTGTTTTTCTTCTCATTCATAGTGGAAAACTCTCTCTTCTTTTGCCCCGAGGATTAGGCTTAGCCGAACCTCATTAAATCCTTGTGTTGATTTTTCTTCTCTATTTGCTTTGTGTGAGATTGTGTGCTAGTTAACCCACGATATTCCGCAACAATTAGTATCAGAACAAGGTTCGAATTTCTACACATAATTTATGGTTAAGATGTCTTCATCATCTTCAACAAAGTATGAAGTAGAGGAATTTGACGGAGGTTCCAGTTTCAGTCTATGGAAGATTAGGATGAAATCGTCCCTGGTGTTACAAGGATTATGGAAAGCAATTGATGAGGATTTTCCTGAAAATATGAAATAGACAAAGAAGGAAGACCTGAAGGAGAGGGCTTTGAGTGCGATCTTCATGAGCGTTACAGATAGCGTTCTTCGGGAAATTGCTGAAGAAACTTCTGCAGCAACGGCATGGAAGAAGCTGGAAGATCTGTATTCTAAGAGATCACTGACAAACTGTCTCTACCTGAAAAAGAGGTTATACAATCTCCGTATGAACGAAGGTACACCTGTTAAAACTCACCTTGATGAGTTTAAATCAAATATAATGGACCTGAAGAATGTGGATATCAAAATTGAGAGTGAGAATCAGGCCTTGATTGTGTTATGTTCTTTACTACAGTTTTATGATACTTTTGCCGATACACTGCTATATAGGAAAGATAGCATTTCACTAGAAGATGTTAGTAATGTACTAAAATCTAAAGAGTTGAAAATGAGCTTTCCAGACAACAGAATTGAGGGCGAGGGTCTTGTGATTAGAGGAAGAACACAACAAAAGGACTTTAACAGGAAAAAGTCAACCGTATGATCAAAGTCTAGAGCAAGGAAGCAAAACTGTTATGAGTGCGGGGAGCAAGGTCACTACAAGAGAGATTGTCCTAAGCTGAAGGAGAAAAGAGGGAAGCAAAAAATAGATAATTCGGCAAATATTGTTGACACTTGCAATAATTCTGATGATAGGGGAAAGTTTGTGCTGTGAGTTCTAGTCATGGGCAAAATTCTTGGGTTCTTGATTCTGGTGATACTTTCCACATGTGTCCACATAAGAATTGGTTTGCAACTTACAAACAAATGAGTGGGACTGTCTATATGGGAGATGATAATCCATTACCAGTAGAGGGGGTTGGTAACATCAAATTGAGAATGTTCGACGGAATTATCAGAAACATTGAGTGTTGGCATGTTCCTCGGATAAAGAGAAATTTGATTTCTCTTTCGACTTTGGATGATCAAGGGTATAAATTTCACTCCGAGAATGGAATACTTAAAGTGTGTAAAGGCTCCATGGTACTCATGAAGGGTAAACTACATTCTAAATTGTATCATCTTCAGGCCAGTGTAGTTGAAGGGGAATCTGCTGTAGCTTCTGGGAAAAGTGATCTGAATCAGTCTCAGTTGTGGCACTTGCGACTTGGCCATATGAGTGATAATGGATTGTCTTTGTTGAGTAAGCAGAATTTGTTGAATGGGTACAAAAATCAAGTTTTGAATTTTTGTGAGTATTGTGTGTTTGGTAAACAGACAAGGGTAAAGTTCATCAAGAAGACCGAGCACAAGACCAGAGACAAGTTAGATTATATACACTCTAATTTGTGGGGTCCAAACAGAGTTCCCTCCAAAAGTGGTGCCAAGTATTTTATGACTTTGATTGATGATTACTCAAGGATGATGTGGGTGTATTTTCTGAAAACAAAAGATGAGGCATTTTCGACATTTGTTAAATGGAAGACGATGGTTGAGAGGCAGACGGAAAGAAAAGTTAAGCGTCATCGAACTGACAATGAGTTGGAATTTCGCAATTCTGAGTTCGATAATTTCTGCAACAGGGAGGGCATAGTGAGACACCGCACTTATTTTGGAACACCACAACAAAATGGTGTTGCAGAACGTATGAATAGAATGCTTTATGATAGGGCACGAAACATGCTTTCACAGTCATGTATTAGCAAAGCTTTTTGGGCTGAAGCAATCAATACAGCTTGTTATTTGGTCAATAGATCTCCATCCACAGCTATTGAGTTCAAAACTCCTTTTGAGGTATGGTCCGGTTCGCCTGCTGATTATTCAAATTTAAGGATATTTGGTTGTCCTACTTATGCTCATGTGAGGGATGGAAAAATTGAGCCGAGGGCAAAGAAGTGCATATTTCTAGGGTATGCAACTGGAGTGAAAGGTTATAAGTTGTGGTGCATAGATCAAAATATTCCAGGGCTAATTATCAGTAGGGATGTAACATTCAATGAATCTGCCTCACTAGACAGTCAGAGGGAGAAGGCAATAGAAGAAACAGATTGTGGTGTCAGTGACCTCATAGAGATAGAAATTGAATCTCCACTAGCTCAGCCCAGTAGTTCTAAAGTAGAGGAAGTGGAGGAGGTGCAAAATATTGATCAATACGATAATGTTGATGCACCTGCGCAAAAACCCTATAGCATTGCAACAAGCAGAGAGAAGAGAGTGATCAATCCACCATAAAGGTTTGCAAACGTATCTGATGGTAATTTTCTTGGATATGCTAATTTTGTGGAGTTTGCTTTGTTTGTTGCATAGACTATTGATGTGCTTGAGCCTAATAGCTATAAAGAAGCTATTTCTAGTCCAGAAACAGATCAGTGGGTTGGTGCTATGAGTGAAGAGATTGAGTCTCTTCATAAGAATCAGACATGAAAGCTTGTTCCATTGCCAAAGGGACGGAAGGTACTAGGCTGCAAATGGATTTTCAAAAGAAAAGAGGGCAATCCAAGGGTTAAAGTATCAAGGTACAACACAAGATTAGTAGCTAAAGGTTTTTCACATAGGGAGGGGATACATTACAATGAAGTGTTCTCTCCAGTGGTAAAGCATAGCTCTATCAGGGTCATTCTAGCTTTGGTAGCTCTTCATGACTTAGAACTAGAGCAGTAAGATGTGAAAACTACATTTTTGCATGGTGAGTTGGGTGAGCAGATTTATATAAGTCAACCCGAGGGATTCATTACTCAAGATAAGAAAAATCATGTTTGCTTGCTTAAGAAATCTTTATATGGTCTGAAATAGTCGCCTAGGCAGTGGTATAAAAGTTTTGA